TAACAACTACAAAAACAATTTATGGCAGTTTATCACACCAATTAACAATTACATATATCATCTATGCCAATTTTTCACATCAACTAACAACTACAAAAACAATTTATGGCAGTTTATCACACCAATTAACAATTACATATACCATCTATGCCAATTTTTCACATCAACTAACAACTACAAAATCCTTCTGTAACTTGCAGTCACAGTCTAATACAACAGTTATAACAAGAATAGTAAAGAGTAACACAAAAAATATATAAATATATCACTCATCTTTATATTATTGTATTAAATAACACATTTCATAGAAACAATCAGATACAATATTACCATGAAATTACAGGTAACTTTGTTTATGATAACTGCATCACAGATAAAACCATAATAAATAACACAAGTAACAACATGACACTGTAACACAAGAAACAACATTACAGTGATATTACAAGTAACATAATGTTATGATAATCTAACACAGGAAAAATATTACAGTGGTATTACAGGTAATATAATGTTATGATATTCTAACACAGGAAACAACATTACAGTGGTGTTACAGGTAATATAATGTTATGATATTCTAACACAAGAAACAACATTATACTGGTATTACAGGTAATATAATGTTATGATAATCTAACACAGGAAACAACATTATAGTGGTATTACAGGTAATATAATGTTATTATATTCTAACACAGGAAACAACGTTATAGTGCTATTACAGGTAATATAATGTTACAATATTCTAAAACAGGAAACAACATTACAGTGGTATTACAGGTAACAATGTTATGATATTCTAACACAGGAAACAACATTATAGTGGTATTACAGGTAATATAAGGTTATGATATTCTAACACAGGAAACAACATTACAGTGGTATTACAGGTAACAATATAACCTTATATTACCTGTAATACCACTGTAATGTTGTTTCCTGTGTTAGAATATCATAACCTTCTATTACCTGTAATACCACTGTAATGTTGTTTCCTGTGTTAGAATATCATAACGATATTCTAACACAGGAAACAACATTATAGTGGTATTACAGGTAATATAAGGTTATGATATTCTAACACAGGAAACAACATTATAGTGGTATTACAGGTAATATAATGTTATGATATTATAACACAGGAAACAACATTATAGTGGTATTACAGGTAACAATGTTATGATAATCAAACATAAGAAGCAACATTATAGTGATATTACTGGTAGCGTATTATTCTGATAACTGTAACAACATTATAATTATATTAACAATAGTGTTATTTTAAGTGTACCCAGCACAGAGCTTCATTGTTTCTTACTTTTGATGAGAACCTGCAATGACCTGTTGTTTGGTCGTCCTTGTTCAGCAGTATAAGGAATGACAGTGGTTAGGTACTAAAAGAGAGAATAGAAATTATTATCTTAACATCTGAATTACTTACATATTACAAAGACTTTTACTAATTCCTAATGTTTGATACATTTGAATCTGTAAATTTTGTTAGAAATATTTTTTCCTCTCTGTTTTGGTTTAATCTTCGACGTCTGTATCAATTGTTACTAGTAGAAGACTGTAATTGTTGTTTTTTCTCTTGAATGGTATCTTATGCACACAGTGAGCTAAATGAGCAGGTGAGAAACCATCACAGCTCAGGTACAGTTGTTCATAATTATGAGCTATGCACAAGAAGTAAAACAATTAGTGAGCAGCACTTGCCACTTGAAGCAGCTATTCTTGATCAAACAACAGGAGTGATTGTCACTCTTACAATACACCCAAAGCTGAAAGCAGCTATTCTTGATCAAACAACAGGACTGACCGTCACTCTTATAACACACCCAAAGCTGAAAGCCACTTGAAGCAGCTATTCTTAATCAAACAACAGGACTGATTGTCACTCTTACAATACACCCAAAGCTGAAAGCCACTTGAAGCAGCTATTCTTAATCAAACAACAGGAGTGATTGTCACTCTTACAATACACCTTAAGCTGAAAGCCTCTTGAAGCAGCTATTCTTAATCAAACAACAGGAGTGATTGTCACTCTTACAATACACCCAAAGCTGAAAGCAGCTATTCTTGATCAAACAACAGGACTGATTGTCACTCTTACAACACACCCAAAGATGAAAGCAGCTATTCTTGATCAAACAACAGGACTGACCGTCACTCTTATAACACACCTTAAGCTGAAAGCCTCTTGAAGCAGCTATTCTTAATCAAACAACAGGACTGATTGTCACTCTTACAATACACCCAAAGCTGAAAGCCACTGACAGCAGCTATTCTTAATCAAACAACAGGACTGATTGTCACTCTTACAACACATCCAAAGCCAAAAGATTTAAGTAACTGCAACTATCCTTGTCAAAATTCTCACAACCACATTTAAATGCTAATGAGCTGAAGTGCTTAATTTTCTAATGGGAACAGCTGGTATATAAAGATGAAAAACTGTTGGTTGACATTAGTTTCGTAACTTGAAGATCAAATTTTGAATAAGGATAACTGATAATCAAAGTCAACAATTAAATGAAGGCTCTGTTCATATCATTCTTGTTACATTTGAATGAAGTGAAACAAAAATACTGAAACTGTTCCTAATGTTAAAAGTTTTAGTTTCACATTTTTTTATATAGAAGAATGAAATTTGGAACTGGAACAAAACAAACTCTGGAAAATAACTTTGCCTTAAAATGGTAATAAAATATCGACAATAAATTCGTGAGAGTAATGAGCAAGTAAAATTCTATGTATTAAATATTATACGGTACAAAAATACCCAAATTGTTGTATTAAAAATTTAGAATTTACAATCTCCATATTTCAAATTAACTTCATTGAAAAATTTATATTTATAGTTATCAGTTGTTTACTTGACTCATGAACTTCTCTTATAGTTATGAAAAAACAACTTGAACTTGTACTCTTTTGACCTTTCCAGAGTATAACAGAATAAAAAAGGGCCATAAAATGGAGGGTCAATGGGTTTGCATGGCTCAGATTTTGCTGAACTAATTCACCTGGAAATTGGTATTAACATATAAAGACCCATTTATAACAATAATCTAAATACAGACTTTTGAAAATTTGATCCCTTATATTAAGGTCAAAAGAGTTTTACGACTCTCATGACTAGTTTTGGTTCCACAGATACCAGAGCCCCCAAATACAAGGGTAAGGAAATCTCGGGAATCTGAAAGTTTACACGGAAGAAGCAGTTCAATATAGAGCATGCACATTTGTTTGCCAATTATTATTTTCTGTAAATACTTGGAGATAACTTAATACTAGTAGTAACAAGTTAGTATTTGTTAATGTTATTAAACCAGAACTTCAGTGGTTATATAAGTGTTACCAAGTACCTGTGAATGTTGCTTACTTTTGGTTCTGTGCCGGTACGACCTCTTTTTTTTTCCATGTAGTATTGACGTCTCTTGTTCTGAACCCCAAGCAAGAGTGAGATGAAAGTGTTCTTCAGCTCCTTCTCGAACTCTAACTCATCCCTCAAGGCTAGCTGACGTACCAGGGTTTCTGAATTATCTTTAATCAGGGTTTCCAATTGAAGTAAGACTTCACGAAGCTGTGATGTGTTGAGAGTTTTGAGCTCTAAAGGATGAAATGGTCAGTATGTGAGCTTCAAAACTTATTTTTAATGAGGATTGACCAGAAATAAAAGTTAGTACCTTTCAGCCAGTGAGAGGTAATGTCAACAACAACTTTTAGCAGCATCAACAATTTCTATGATAGCCAGTGTGCAACATAAAAGGACCATAGTGAGTGGTACTGGTTTCAAAGAACAGTGTAAGAGCTGTATGTAAAAGTTAGGATATCATCCCAACCCACGAAAAAAAAAAAGACACCTCACTTATTATCCTGCAATTCCATTCTTTTGGCCTTATCAAGAATTGTCTGCACATATAAGCACCACTACTAATCAAATGACATTTTAAGCATCCGTACACAAGTAAAACTCAGTGAATGATAAATTAAATGTATCAAATCTAACAGGTTCTATGTAAAGAACTAATATCTGGTTACTTAATTTTACTGATGTTCATTTGTTAATTGTGATTGGCCTACAAGGAATAAAATCCCACTTCTTTCTGATCACACCTCATAGCCATCTAGTGGCTCAGTAGTAAGCTAATAAGCTTATAATGCTAACATTTTGGGATTTGATATTCACAATGGCCAACTCATCACTAACTACAACTTTTACCCGTTGTTCTAACAATGTTAAGACGGCTTATCGACTTCTTGAGAAGAATTCTAAGAAGAAAGTAAACCTACAGACATCGGTCTTGTTTAACAAAATCTGCCTACAATAGGAACAGTAAATATAATCCAATGGATAACTTCCTCATAGCCTCCTAGTGGTTCAGTGGTAAGCTAAAGAGCTTATAATGCTAACATTTTGGATTTGATATCCACAATAGGAACAGTAAATATAATCCAATGGATAACTTCCTCATAGCCTCCTAGTGGTTCAGTGGTAAGCTAAAGAGCTTATAATGCTAAAATTTTTGGATTTCATACTCACAGTAGGAACAGTAAATATAATCCAATGGGTAACTGTTTTTCAATATCCCCAAATATGATCAAAAACAGAAGAAAAATGTTCAGTTGATCTTGTACACAGAAAAAGAGAGAGAGAGAGGTACACAGACAGAACACACAGCAGTGAACATTCATTCTGCCTCAGCCAGAGGAAGGTAAGAAACAAACATACTTCGTGTAATCAAGTACTTAGAACTTAAAGAACAAATTCCCAACAACTGAAACTTGTATAAATATTTATTTTAGAAATTATATATTAGAAAGTCACAATTCAATGAGCTCCAGTAAAAAATCATAAAATTAAACTGTTTACAATGCCTAGAGGGGAAAGAGTTATTTTGAGTCTGGATTTCTAAGCACCTTTGTGAAACAGTGTTAAAATATATGGTTTGTGATAATTAATTAATTTTTCTGAGATAATTATGATAATAAGAATAGAGTTACTTATTCTTTAGCTTATTTTCCACAAAGATTAATTACATTAGAGTAGAAGATATCGTTTCAACTTTACAATATTCGTAAAATAGGTTACAAGCAGAATAATGTTGGATATACAACGGGAAAAAATGAAAAGTCAAAGTACTGAGTCAATATTTTTGAAGGTGTTTAATAAAGCTTGAAGAACAGAATAAAGTGAGTTAATACTAAACAAATAATCCATTCCTTACTTCCATCATATATTAGAGAAGAAATGGCAGCTTTGGGGCTATCTTTAGGCTCTTCTGGGGATATATCAGACAATGTTCCTTCTGTAACGGGACTCTCCTGTTGCTAAAAATACACAAGCACAATAGCTGTCTCAAAAAATCCCAACAATATTTAATGTACAGGTACTTCAATATGATTAAAACAGAAACAAACGTGTTTTCACTACATTATTTCAACTGATGTTTGGAACTTCAATAAACAGGCATATGTTTTCTCATAAGTATCACTTAAAAGAAGTGTTAAAACTGAAGTTTGGAACTTCAATAAACAGGCATATGTTTTCTCATAAGTATCACTTAAAAGAAGTGTTAATGTTATTTAACACGAAGCATCATCAAGCCAGGAAAACTAAGCACATGTGAAATAACAGCACCTTTAAGGGTTAATTAAGTGTTAATAAACCATTAGTACAAAGTATAAAATTCATGCCCGTTATTGACCGAAACCTTCCTCATTCAATAAACAATATCTTAAAAATAATTACATTTCATATAAAAGCTAGCTAAATACTACAGAAGGTTAAATATGAAGAATGTTCACCAGACTCATCTATTAATTCTGTGAAACACCAGCACAAATTTATGGTTATATCACTGAAGGAGGACATTAAGAAACAACACAAAATAACAGATCTGGAAACTAACAAAAACATTAATAACAAAGAAAGAAAATTAGTATACAGGGACATAGGCAGAAATCTATAAATGTGTGTGTGTGGTAGGGGGGGGGGGGGAGTACTACTTTTGTAAGAACAAGGAAATGAATGACAAAGCAATACTGGGGCTCCAGGATCATGTCCCCTCCAAAAGAATTTGTAATTTTCAATGAAAAATGTTGCATTTTGATGAAATCTGAGTTTGCTTTTAAATGTTTTAAATATATTCTATACATCTATTGGTACAACCTAAGGTATGCAATGCACCCCTACATTGGTATTGTGGTCACATGACCTACATGTATTGAAAATATTTGTCTGTCTCGATGTATTTTAAGTTTTCTTGGATGGGGAGGGGGGGGTGAGATCAAAGATCTAAATGGCCATCTGTCCTCATGCTTTTTGTTCTGTTCTTACTTCTAATTTGCTTAATGTTTGAAATATTTAAATTTTAGAATTTCAAAATCTCACCCCCTAGTCACTTTTAATAAACCTTGAAAATGTTTTTATTTTCTAACGTACTGTTATCCAAAAACAACAACAACAACATGGTTTACACATGCCAAGCTTATGTTATTTATATTTATAAATATATGTTTTAAGTAACAAACCTGCATGATTTCATCTATTACTGTTATTTCTTATCCATAAACAACAACAACATGGTTTACACATGCCAAGCTTATGTTATTTGTGTCTATAAATATATGTTTTAAGTAACAAACCTGCATGATTTCATCTATTACTGTTATCTCTTATCCATAAACAACAACAACATGGTTTACACATGCCAAGCTTATGTTATTTATGTCTATAAATATATGTTTTAAGTAACAAACCTGCATGATTTCATCTATTTCTTCTATGACTTGATCTGCTGTAACAATAGGCTCCTGTTGCATGGAGTTTAGAATCAGGGAGTGCATGTCCAAGTTTTTGGCTAATTCTTCGTCTTCAGAAACATCAAGTTCATTCTCAAACTTGTTATCCTAAAACAACAAACACTTATAATAAACTATCATATCATATAAAACACAATAAAAAGTATGTAAGTGAAGCCTTAAAATATCTCTGTGCTCGTTTATTCTGCAATATTTGAAGATTGAAAAAGATGGCTGGATAAGTAAATAATACTGGTAGTTTTTTTATTATTATACTTACACTTGGTTTTACTTATTCTTTTTTTTTAGGTTTTAAGATTAATATTTTTATGTCGTATTTCTAAGTGTTTTTACTCGTTATTCTCGTTGAATATAGTCATCTTCTATTTACATATTTTCACTCTGTTGTGGTTTAAGTTTCTGTTTTTAATACACCAGATTTACTTACTCTTTTTCTGGTTCAGGTTGAGAATATTGGATTTACTTAACTTCTTATTTTACTTACTTTCTTGTGGTTCAGATTGAGAGTAATGTTTTTACTTCTTATTCTACTTATTTCCTGTCATTCACTTTCAGAGTAATTTCTATTAACTTCTGATCTTATACTTACTTTTCTTTGGCTCAGGATGAGATGATCATTTACATTTTTTGAAATAAAATTAATTTAAAACAGGTACTTACATCTGAAATAATGAAAGCCTTTCCTTATTGAGTTTAAACTCATGTTGACTCAGACTTACTGAATGTCCTTTATGCATTGCAGTGAATATGCTATTTAATATTCTTATCCACTCTCCCGCCTTCCATATGACTTATTGCATAAGCATAATGAAACCTTAAGATACACAAGATCTGCTATCCAATCAAAATTTAAATTTTATTGAAAGTTTCACCATGATGAAAATTTGGTTGTGGAGATCCAGGAAGGAAGATAAGTACTTGTTTGAAACTCATTTAATTATAACAATGTAAAATTCTAATCAGGTATTTACTTTTGAAATATTGAAAGCCAGAATATCCACACTGTAAATGAGGTGTGAACTGGTGAACATGAAACAGAGAAGTATAAAACTACAAGTTACGGGGTAGGAAGATAATCCAGACTACAAGAAATATGTAGCCAAGCAGTCAGAGTAGAATCCAGAACCTTAAAATAATTTGAGCCAAGCAATCTCATAAAAAGACTGGACCTAAAGGGCACTCGGATAAGAGACATTCTTCTTTACATATTACACCCTTTAATTCAGACGAAGGTGTCATATTGAACCTGTGGGCCACAGATGATGGCATAGACAGGTAGGAGGAATACTGTATACTCAAGAGTAGCTTAGACATATATTATGAAAGGACGTATTCCAGAAGTACAACACCTTTTCATCCATATTGAAAATAGCCATTGAGTCGCACAATTAGCCAAATTAGTAGGTGTTCGAGGAGACATGAAGAAAGACCCAAACAGTCCACAAGGATTTCCTGTAATGGTATCATCAAAACATAAAGAAAGAAAGAAAGAAATAAGAATAAAAACCATAAATGATCCCCATCTTTATTGGAGCTAAAACATCTTGTTATACTTCTAGTCCCATTTTCGATATCTCCAATGTCGAGCAAGAATATGCAGGACACGGAAAGAAAGTTACCTAGTGAGGCCTCATCCATCACTAAATGGCACCTTCTGCACACTTCCAAAGGACAACACCCTCTCATGGAACATCAGTAATAGATGGTGAAATTTTTATCCAAGACAAATGCAGAGTTATATGTGATGTGTGAAAGTTGCAATTAGACAAATCCGTACATCGAGTTTCACACGAGTAGAAACCATGTTTTTTGTTGTTTTTTTTATATACAAGTTAACATTTTCCTAAACTGAAAATATACTTCCAATAACACTTACCTCCACTGACACAATAGCTATTTCTCGATCTCCAGGGTTTCCACTCTTTCCCATCTAAGCATTGAAAATGCTTGCTCCAGCCTTTCATACCCCACTCGAATACCCTAAGCAAATTCTAATTTTTCAAAGTTCTCCACCAACTTCAATGCACCCTCTATCTACATACTGTATAAAAGCACCTCATTCAGATAATATAATCACTTGCCATCCTTTCTGCCAACAAGAAAGGAGTAGAGTCAAATGCAAAAGGAAAGACCCCAAAACCTCATAACCCAAATAACCAACTGGAGAAAAGGGGCTAGAGGTGGCTGATTAAAATGATTCTCTGTTGAGGCCAACCTAATAAAAGAAGGAGCTGGAAAAAGGGAGTCTAAGTTCTCCCCAGCCAGTCCAGGTCATTTGCAAAAGCTGCCTCAGAACCCCCCTGGAGAGACACCCTTGGTCCACATATATGTTTCCATCTCGCAACAAATCATATCATGGACAGCCTCGACTCAGAGTGACCTCTCCCTTGGACGTTGACAAACATCAGATAACAGAGGTAGAAGAGAAGAGGTCTGGATGGCCTCCGTAGTATAAACATTAACTCAGAAATTCATACCCATCGGTTCGTTTTTTGTTTTTTATTAAAGTAATTTATAAATATAAACAAAGATATAACTATAGGAACAGATACTACGTTCAAAGTCGCAACATAAATTGTGAATAATCACAACACTCCTGTTTATAGAAACCCGTGCCAAATGTTTTGTGGAGAAAAGTGATTACATTATTTGAATAAGATACTTATATACAGTACCTAGATAGAGGGTGCATTGAATTTAGTGGAGAATTTTGGAAATTAGAATTCCCCAAGGGCCTTTGAGTTGGGTATAAAAGACTGGAGCAAGTGTTTTTAATGCTTAAATGGGCAAAGAGTGGAAACCCTGGAGATCAAGGAATAGCTATAGTGGCACTGGAGGTAAGTATTGGAATAAAATAATTTCAAAACCTCAGACATCTTTAGAATTGTGAATACAGCAGTATACAAATACTTGGGTTACCTAGGACAAACACAGTAGTTAAAGAACATGTGAGAGTCCTGATTGGACAAATTGATATAAATACAGATTCTTGAAACATGTATTGTTCATTTTGAAGTCAAAATTACTCAAGAATTTCATACACCTGGAAATAATTTAACAATAAGTGCTAGGCAGAATATACAAAAACTTACCAGATCCAGATTCTACCAAGCTCAGGAGGCAACTGGAATCCTAAAACTAAAGATACAGAAATTTAGTGAAGGTAAAATATTAAAAAGCTATGCAGATTCATCCCCATGCCAGCCTGTGAGATGTACACTTTTGGGTAGGGAGGCCAGGGGGGTCAAAGACATCACCAAATTATGAACTAAAATAAATATAACCTGAAACTAATTCTTAAGGCGGTCTGGAACAACATGACAAACAAGATGGATCAGCTACACAAATAAATTTGTTAAAGTCAATGAATCAAGACCTGTGGAATGAGAACCATAAGATATGCCGATTCTCTTCTTGCATATATAGAAACAGACTTCTGACCAGACATAGAAATATTCATCAAAAGAAGAATCAAGGTCAGTCAGAATAGATAACACAATAATAGGAAAACAGCAGTGAATATGTCTCGCACAAGTCTCTGGTAGGAAAACTCAATCAGGATATAAGAACACAGCTCTCCTTGAAAAAAGAAAACAATATAAGAAGCATGAATGTCAAAAATGTCTGATCATTACATCCAGGAAGCGAGTAACAAAAGAAAATACATCTTCAGGGAAAGACAGTAAAGAGAATAAGTTGCAAAGGGTTCAGAAAGAGAAGCCAGTCATATCTCAGTACTCATGGAAGAGGTAACTAAAAAGTTTGAAAAAGGACCTGAAAAAAAGAAAAAAATTGGGGCTAAAAGAGGCACATGACTGCTGTGGCAACTGAATATGGGATGAGAGTACTGAGTTGGTGTTTTTAAAGATGTTTACTAAAGCTTCGAAAACAGAATAAAATGAGCCTTAATACCAAACACATATTAAAAAAGAAATGGCAGTTTTGGGTCTATCTTTAGGTTTGTTTGGAAATGTATTAGACTCTCCTGTTACTAAGAATGCACAAGCAAAGTTTGAAAACCATCAGGGAATGAATAAGAATAAAACTAGAATGTCTGTTCAGATAATAGTCTATTATTGTGTTGATAAGTAACAACACGTAATTTCTCCATGCTAGATGCAGTAATGGTGGAAGGCTATACTCTGGTCATGACTGAATCAGACTGGCACAGTACACATGTAAGGTGGGAGTTTCATTCAAGTGTTTGCGTGTGCACAAAATATTTGGCAGTGGTGTGAGGTAACAGTTCATTGGTCTGACGAGAGGTGAGTAGCATTTCTAAATTCTAATTTTACTTATTTTCTTGTGGTTCAGGTTGAGATTATTTTAACTAACTTTTGATTTTACTTACTTTCTTGTTGTTCAGGTTGAAAATGGGAAGTTGAATCTTCCGAGCATATGACTTAGACCAATCGATTGGAAGAATATTTCCAAAATTCCCTGTGATAGTCCACCACATTCTGTAAATAGAAAGCAAAATTGTTAAATAAAGAGAGCGATTTACTTTGAAGTGAGATACAATACTTGAAAACCTGTTATCAAAACAGAGCCATTTACAATTTCATATTTTTTTGTGTTTCTACATAAAGGTGTTTGTACAGCATGAACCACTACTGATGTGTCAGCTGGAACAGGTAACTGTACCATGCAGGTTGGAGTCATGAATGCTGATAAGTGTGAGAAACTGAATTTTTCTGAGGTTTTCTGTATGGGGATTTAATAATTACCTATACTGAAAGACTGATAAGTGATCTTGCATACATATGTATATCAACTAAGACTAACATTTGTTAACCAGGTGTTCAGGTTGTAAATGAAGGTGCTATTTTTTTAATGTGTTTATAAATAGATAAAGATTAGCAAGATCAAACCAGATGAAATATAACCCAGAAGAGCTAAGTTCCTTAAGGAATAGAGCTGGATGAATTAATCAATTACCTATGAGCCATAATGATATTGATTAGTGTCTTGTAAGCTAATCAATTAATGGAATTAGCTTTTCTGATTATTAGTTTTTGATTATTACAACAACTGAATAATCAAAGTTATGATTAAATCAACTGTCAAGAAAATAATCAACTAATCAAAATCAGGGTTTCTGATTATTTACTGTTTTCAATTATTCAAACTGTCCAAGTAACCAAAATATTGCCATTACATTTGTTTTTTTTTGTTAAGTACAAAGTTACATAATTGGTTGGGGGGGGGGGAGGAATGCCTAGTGAATTGATGGTCTCAGGTTCAATTCCCCTTGCCACTGAGCTTGCTCTCCCTGTTTTTGTTATTGCACAGCTACTAAAGCTATCTGCCACAGTCACTAATTTGTAACTGCTGACTATAAGGAAGGCAACTGGCTGGCAGCACCATCTCCCTGGCTATTATATGGTTAAATAGTGTAAATTTACTGTTCTTTTACATTGTGTTATGTTTGTAATTCAAGCATCTAGTGGAGGGTCCAGGGGTCCAAACTTCATCACCCATTTTTTTTCTTCAGAAATTAATAAATACATTATTTAATGTTGTATAAGTATGCACAGAACTGGTGGTCTGGACCCCCTTCCAATTTTTTAGAAATTAATAAAAAACACTTCCAGATGTCCTTACATTACCATATAGTAACAAAAAGAAAGACTGGATGTCAATGTTTTAATTTGATTGGGCTGTTAATTACCATATAATATTTTTTGAGGTCAACACAACTGGAGTCTACAGTCAAGATCTCAGTAATTAACTGACTATTTCTAAGCTAATATAACAATACTAGCCTTGTTCGACCCATAAAAAAAAGAAGATGGGTTTGAGTTTTATATAAAGAAAACAAAACAGATGGCCCTCACCCTTCCTTTAGCAATCTTTGTTTACCAAACTTTCCCTTCATTATAAAAGTAAAAAAAAAACATATTAAGAAAATAAAACCAATTTTCAAAAAATCAGTAAGAATGGTGCAAACTTAAATTAAAAACAACTTATAATATGAGTGTCAAGCACACACACGACAACTGCCTTTATATATGTTAGATTTGAACGAGCATTAAAATAGTAGTATCATGCCAAAGTTCACAACTTTTACATAAATTTATGAAAATCATAAAGTGGTTTTATTTATTTTTACTTTTCAGTTGATTCTCCACATTACGAAAGGCATTCTAGAAGAAATTAAAAAACGTTTTTCAGCATTTTATTTATTGCTGCATAATACAATATTATTAGTTTCATTTTTTCTTTTCATGTTGTTACAAAGTATGAAAATTTTTATTAAACCAAAATGCATGTTTTAAAGATGCAACATTTTCATTATTCAAATGCAAAAAGATGAAGCATCCACAACCAATAGGCCTAAGGTTTATGATTAAAAATTATCACAAAGTTTAAACCTAAAATTTAATTTCAAGTACCATCATTAGTTAAGACTAATGGTGATACCTTTGGGAGAAAGAAAGAACAAAGAATATTCTACCCAAAAAAGTAACAAAAAAACTGGAAAACTTCACAATACCCTAATAACAATCTACAAATTATGGTCACTAGCCTTATAACTTGTTTGTTTTTAAAACTCACCAAACTATGTATGTATGTCAAACTATGTATGTGCATAAATGAAAACACAAAACGATGTAGAAATGTGGAATTCAAGCCAGCTCTCATGAATGTTCAAAATATTATATTCATTCTTAAAACATTATGAGGTAAAGTTCTTGTTGTTAAGTGACACATAGCATTACCAAAAGACAAATGGCTTTTATATATATTAGATGAACATCAGTTAAATATTGCCATGAAAACTCTTCTTTCCTTGGCCTTTTCTAAACACACTAACAATGTGTCTAGACTTTTTAACCATTCAAATTTAACTATACAAGCAAGTTAATAGTACCCCTTAATACTTGTATAGTTAAATTTGAATAGTGTATTAAGGGGTACTATTAAATTGCTTGTATAGTTAAATTTGAAGTTTAAAATGGAGGATGAGATCCTGTACTTATTTGGGGAGATTTGTGTACAACATAACTAAAGGGATTCCGTTCTGAAGTTTAAAACGAAGTTTTAAAGTGGATATTGTTCCTGCAAATGACACGTGAGATTAATCTGTAGAATGGACTACCAAAGAAAATGTTATAAACTGTTACCTGGAGTTCTTTCAAAACTCCTTCCTCGTAGATGAGTTTAGATAGAAATATCAATAGCATGTTTGAGAGATGTGCGGTTAACTTCATTGGATTAATTGGCCACCTATTGTTAATATGTTTCCTTTGCATTAAGTGATACTTAAGTAATTATTGTGCTAAGCTGATCTCAGAATCTTTGTTTAAATAAAACATTACTAGAAACATAAAATTTGATTTCAGATAATGTAAGACTTTTAATTGAAAACTATATTAAAAAAAAGTTATTTTTTGGATCACTGTATAAAACCTCTTTCTGTTTTACTATTACAACCTGGATTGACATAATGAAAACCTTAAGAGAGTACTTCTTTCATATAATTTCATCTATATACAACAGAAACATTTCCTATACATAACAGTGTGATCTAAGTATTAAAACACTATATGAAATGCTTTTAAGGTATTATTTCTGTATGCCAAAAATAACAAACAGAACATAATAGCCTTGAACATTTCACTATATGTCCTGAAGGGAGTTTCCTACTTCTGCCCTGTATAAAAACGGTAGCTGTTGTATGTGGATGCACATACATGTACATGTGTGTCTTTCTATGACTCATTTACTTAACTGATAACCATGTTAGTACACCAGGAAATTACTCTCATCCCCACTTCCTTCAATTACCTATTCTGGCAACTGTAATAAAGTGCTTGCCAAATGGAAGCCCAGTTAAAATGTATATGCAATAATAACGGAGCTCATCAAGAGAGAGATAAAGAGAATACAGAAAAAAAAAGCATCACAATACAAAATTAGCTTCTTAGAAGAACAGGGTTCAATTGGAACATTCGTATTCCTTCTACTCATGCAAAAACACATGAAATTGAGTTAAAATTCAAACCCACATGTGTTTTTCAAGTATTATAGAAACTAATTTTTTGTTCTGTTTGTTTAGTCATGGAAACCAATTATTCCCGATATTGAATAGCACCACCTAAAACTTAACTTTATACTTTAACATGTAGACAATTCCCATACAAACTTGCCTGATGTACTACAACTAAAACACCATCTGTTAATAACATTACAGTTGTTTTATACAGTGGGAAACTTTTCTATGACTTACATTACATTACAAATATTTCTATGCTGAATAACTGAATATTACACAGAATGAAATGATTGAAATAAACATGGTTGTAACATAACACTAACAAAAAATTATAATGAAACAAATTGAACATTATAAATCAACTAATATAATAAAGACAGATAAAAGTCATTTAATCTGTCTTGTACATACTTTCAACTTGTTATTTTTTACAAAGACAAAGATGCTGCTTACATATCCTACTCTTTGCTGGTTTAAATGTACTCTTCTAGATAAAATATGCTTGGTAATTTATTTATTCATAGACATATTGATTATAAGTCAAAAGAAGTAATTATCTCTTTATACAAATCACATAAAATATTGTGTATAGTTTTGGTTTACTTAACTAAAAAAAGACTTGACTCTGTGGAAATGATTCAGAGAAGGGCTACTAGGAGAATGTGGGGATGAAAAGGTTATCTTACATGGCCAGGCTAAGAACACTTATTTTCTCTTGAGGTAAGAGGTGATTTTATGTTACTTTATAATATCCAGGATAAAGGCTTTTTACATCTTTGTGCTTTATTCTAAGATCAGATGATAAGAGGAGAAAAGTTCTACAGATTTGAAAAAGATAAACCAAGCTGTAATTAAGATCTTACTAGTGTTTAAGAGAGAAAACAATGATTTCCTAAGATATAAAGTGTGGGTATAAAATTTTTATTTTTAATTTTCCTCAGGAGTGGGTGCACAAGGACAGCCTTGAAGGGCCAAATGTCCCACTGTTTTTCTCCACATGTTGTGTCACTAAAATATATACAAATAAGATGAACTTATATTCAAGTCATAAAAATAACTCTTTCCCAGATTTCATAACCTTAGTGAGTGTATGCATATAACAACTTAGCTGAGTGATTACATACCAACCAGTTAGTCTTACTTCAGAGGACAAGAAATTAGTAAACTGGAGCACATAATAAATGAAATTCTACAAGAATATTTGCACAAAACAATTTTATTTAAACCTGATGTTTCATTTATGCCTTTATAATGAATTACAGCATCACATACAAATAGAAACTATTTATATTTGTATGTGATGTTGTAACCCTTGAGAAAAGCATAAGCCAAAACATAGGGTTTGAATAAAATCGTTTTTCTCTGAAGTGTGTTAGTAATTGGTTTTTCTAAAAATGGTTTCAATCCTCCAGCCTGCTCAACAAAGTTTAAAAACTGATACATTTAAACAAGTTTCTTAT